TAGGAATGGTATATCCAGCCATACCGATTCCGTATTGTATGTACGTATACTTCTAATACAGTACGTACGTACTCCAATACAGTACGTACGTATTCCATATAGCACATAGTACGCATCCATTGCACTGTCTGTAAAAACTGGAACTTGCATGGAGTTAGGCTGGTGTTGGATAGTGTGTAGCATATACTCCAGGTGTTGTTCTTCAAATAGATCTTGATTGAATACTTGGGGCTGATGTTGTTGTTGCTGCTGTCTGGCACAAATGCCAGAAACAACAAGAAATCATCTTCTTCCAGTCTGTGAGAACTTGGGCATGGATCCAGCTGAGGCAGACTGCCACTGGCTGGGGATATGGTCAGTAGGAAATCTAGATGATRATTTTCAGAACTGAAATGTACTAATTTCATGCATTTGAAAAAAGTCATTGTGACAATTATAACATKGTGACTCAGTACTACAAATATCATACTGACAACAGCCTTTCAGACATCATGGASACATCTTCTATTCCGCCTGCACTTTGTCAGTATCACAAAGGCCCACAAAACCCTTCAACCAGTTTTGTAACACAAGATGGTGGAACCATATGGTTTTCAATTGTTSAAAAGTAAAAGTAGTAGGAGCAGCTATCAGCAGTATAGCAAGAATAAGTATTATTGCCATGGCATGATCTCTGGAAAACAACAACCTTGGTAGACAAGAAAATGAAGTGATGATGATAGTACTACTAGTAGATAACACCAGATTAGAGTTTCTTGTTTTATCTGACTTTAATCTTGTCCAGTTRTAGTAATGACCAGAACTACTACTAGATGAGGACAAAAAGAACAGACTTGTTGTCAGCCATTGTTTTGGGTTGATTACATCATACTAGTACTAGTAGTAGCAGAAAGAAATGATGGTATACTATCTTTTTAAGCTGAACAATACCAATAGACATGTGAAATCTAAAAAGTTGGATGTTTCATGATGCAGATTTTAGGGGCAGTGTCTCATAAATAGAATGAGTTCAAATGGAAAAGATGCAAGTTTAAAAAATGATGCATTATGAAGAACGGATGGTGAGCAGACCACATAGCACTTTGTGACACTCTTCCCTGCAGGATACAGAAGTTTGTTCATTTTTTACACAGAAGTCGTTCATTGAGGAATTAAATGCTCTGCTCAGTRCAGTAATTCGTTTTCAAAAACCAATGAAACAGAATCGAACGAAAACGAGTTCACTTCGTGGTTATCTTTTTGTGGATCGGACGTACGGTACGGTAAAGGTACTGACGGACCTGTTATGTCTCGAAATAAGTATTTCGAGGACGTATGTACCGTAACGTACCGTACTGTAGCGTACGTCAATTAAGAAGATCTCTTCGTGACATCCAATTATAGTACCGTACGTACTAGTACGTGAAGTACGCATTACTGTATCGTTACAGTATTTTTTATTTTTTCTGGTTTACCGCGGACGATTGATGGTACAAATTCCGAGGGGGTTACGAGGTAGCGTAGCCTAGAGTACGTAGGGCACAGTGAATACAGTAACAACAGTACGTMGTTCTATTTTTTAGAAGTACTAGTAGGTTGCAAGCAGTAGTACTACTCCCCCCCGGTACTCTAAAAAATAGGAGTAATTTCATTTTGGTCAAAACATCTACTAGATGTCAGGGCCTAGAAAAAAGTGAAAATGCAAACAAAATTCTATTTCTCRATCAGAACGGAGATCGTTGTTGGCGAAGCAACTACTCGTGTCACAGTACAAAGTACAAACTGGATTACACGGTCATAATCTCATTGTTAGAATAAATGTCTACATAACATGGTGGACAAGATCGGAGAWCATTCGGTGTCGCACCTGCTGCGAGTAGCGCAGGRTGTTGTCGAGAAAAAGACGGAGGGTAGTGTTCTCCTCGACCAGAATGCGGAGAAAAGGATTCCGAAATTCCAATTGAAAGGTATGACACTTTGATTGAGTTGGTCCTTWCACTATTTTTCKCTTGTTGCTTTCTGCACGTACTCAATATTGAATTGATTCCTTTATTGCTGGGCCTTGTAATTCCGGTGAATGCAAGAATTGAGTTTGGGACGTGTATTGGGTCGAGGCGGATTTTGTGTTGTCAACGAGGTGACAAACATTACTCTCCTAGATGACGATTTGCAACAACCAAGCGTGGAAATGGGCATTGATGAAAATTCGATTCATAACATCGTACAGGATCGGTCTTTTATGGCCAGACATACTATCCGACAGGGAAAGGATTATCGATATGCCATCAAAAGAGTCCAAGATAAGTCCAAAACGGATGCGCAGCACTATGTCAATTCGGTGGTCGACCTGGCAACGGAAGCTCGCTTTCTTGCCGTTATTCGACATGCAAATATHATTAAAATGAGGGCTATGGATGATGGCAGTTTTTATACCGATGGATTTTTTGTTGTGCTGGACAGGTTGTATGACATCATGCCAACACGATTGAAGAAATGGAAGAAGAAAGAGGGTGGAACACTCAAGAAGGCCTTTAAATCGAAGGATACGAAAAAACTTTTCTGGGTGGAGCGTTTGACTGTAGCATATGATCTCGCTTGTGCACTGAGTTACTTGCATGGTATGAGGTACGTAAGGTTTTGCTCCATCRCCACAGAAATGAATGATGCATGACATRTKATGGGGCAAGAGATAGAAACACTGTCGGGCACTACTTGYTATAYACTAATTTTCATTATTTTCCTCTTTGTTATCCGTCAGCGTCATCTATCGCGATCTGAAACCGGTACGTGAAAATTATATCGAATACACAAAATGTCTTCACCATTGTTTCCCTGAAGAAAATTGTGCTTCTCTCAAAATATTCTCTGCTTTGTTTTTGAACTCAAAATTCTCTGTGATAGGATAACATTGGCTTCGATGTTCGAGGTGATGTCAAAATATTTGATTTTGGCCTTGCCAAAGAGATTGACCCACGAACTAGGCTCGAGGATGGGACGTACAAACTTACTGGTGATACAGGATCTCCGCGATAGTAAGTAATTTTTTAGAATTTTTCACTGGACGGAAGATTATGTCTAATAKATGTTCTTCTACGACTCGCTATACTGTGGCACCAATTTGATTAGCATGGCACCCGAAGTTTTCTTGTCAAAAACATACAATGAGACTGCAGACACCTACTCTTTTTGCGTTCTATGTTGGCAAATCATGGCAATCGAAACACCATATGACCATATTAAAACTAATAGTATGCTGAAAAAGTCCGTTGTTGAAGGTGGAGCACGGCCAAAGACAAGAGAGGTTTGGGGTCCCGAAATGTGCAGCATGCTCTGTGACGGCTTTGAGGACACMACAAACAGACCGTCTATGGCCGATATTTGCGAACGATTGCGTAAAGAAATCAGTAGGCTTTCCGATGAAGATGTTGACGTATATCTAGACGAATCTCGGAGAAGTCGYCTGTCCAACGCCGATTGAATGAGTGGAAACTTGTCCCTTTGCTCAAACACTGTATGTGTTGCTTTTGCACAGATATTGCATTGAAACTCCCTGGCTGAAGACCCCCGTTGCWARACAAGGTGAAACATCACTCCACAGRCTAGTTTGTACTKACTTCGTMAATTAATTATTCTATTGTAAATGTTRATGCTATACGATAAAGAAATATTCGATCTTTTTTGAATCCGCAAGGATCCTGTCTATACTGAGAACTTTTTTATGATAAAATACAACAAAAAGTCACGACTTGGTGCACCGGTTCGTAGCACCGATTCCTGATTCTTGACTTTTAGTAAWTACTTCGTTGTGTCTTCCTTAAACTTTGATTTGGAGGAGTTGCCACGATACATAGGCCGAAAATAAACTGCATATCCAATAGTACCGTACGTGTCAACGATTATCAAGTATTGCCGAGGGGTCCCATGATCCCAAACCCTGATGATAATTAATCTAAAACACATGAGAAATTGTCGTCGACGTCGTGTGTTTCATCCTTAACAACCTTCGGTGCACTGRATCGACTACATCTGAGGCAAAAGGGGTCAGAAATTGCCAACAATATTGGATTCAACGGTATGGTTTCTCTACCTGGGAACACATGTTGATTTTAAAATCCGTTTGATCCCTACTGTTGTTCTCGAAGTTACTTGAAAGTTCAAACTACGATATTTTCAAWGATGGATTAAATACTGTCTTCCGAATGCAAGTGATGCCACAGGAATTCAAGTTGTCAGGTACAGTGTGTACAACTCTTCTGTTCATCTGAATTCATCGACTCCTATTCGAGCATTTTGACACCATAACTTAAGAACGGGTTTGTAGGGGAGAAAATTCCCCAAATCACTCACGATCCATTGACATATCATCGCATTCGACGCAAAATCCACAGAGAACTGGTAGCAAGAGCAAGTCCGGCATTSAGAGGTTTAATTTCTCTGCTCAATCCTTCCCAACCTCTAGTTTGTTTACCAGTTATCATTGCCAAGAAAGGGATGTTTGATGTTTGGGACTTGGGTTTGAGAGAATATCGAGATGAGGATGTTAAGAAAATGAAAACATATTGAGATGTATAAAATAGTGCAATCACAAAAATTCGAATCCAAAATCACAATAGGCAGGAAGAAAACGATAATCGTTGTGTTTCATTAACGTACATCGTACTCTGGGCGGAGGACACCACCCATACCCCGGCGAAACCGAGAATCAGTGTGGCTACCACCAAGCCAAGCTACGAGGGAGGGTCCGCTGACCACGTTAATTCGATTCGATTTGGTTTGAATGGATTCGGTCCGATCCGATTCAATTGAGTTGTATTGCATGGTGAATTGAATGCAGATTTAAATCGAATCGAATTTCATAGTTTTGACACAGGAAGAGATCATAACTAATGAGTTTACATTCAAGCAAAATTACAAGAGAAAATATTTACCCTCCACATCATCCAAGAGATCACTCAATGGATACAACTTACAGCCACCATATCTGTAGAGGTATGGTTGGAGCTAATAATGATTGGCTCATTCCAATCATACCAAACGACCACAGCCCAGGATGCCGGCTGATGCGTTCCAACCCACGAACTTCAAAAGGGTCGTTCGTTTCCAGTCTCTTGTCTGCGAAATCGAACGGACATCGAATTTGCATTTTCGTCTGCGCATTTGTGGAATAGAATGAAACTGGTAATTGAAATGTCGGGGCCACTTGGGAGGCCATAACCAGACCGGTGGTCATGCACATCCAAGAACCAACAGCAACGGCGAGAGGAGGTGAATCATTTGCATTCCACCGTTTCAATTGCGAAGCAGACGTAGGAAYTTTCCTAGTTATTTTGTAGTACGCGTATCCGATAGAAACAGTGGCGATAGTCGAAAAGGTCCCATAAATTGTGTGGTAGTTGTCGTCGCCCATTAAGTCAATCAGCCAAGTTCGGTTCTCACTGAGGACTGCGTTTTCAACCACAAAAAAGGTCCAGCCTCCCAYTGCCCATCGAACCATTGAATGAKAGCTACCAAGCTTCCTAGAAGAAAGGGGTAACATTGTCATTTGTGTTGCGTCTTTGATTGCGAACTGGAGGAGCGTATCCGATCTGTCCCTAAAATACGGTTGGTGAACGAATATTCCATTTGGCACATGGCTTTCAGGCAAGGATGATGCAATACGTGATAATCAGTGAGCTACTCACGACGTACGTGTAATCTGTACGKATTCAGATTTGTATTTACGACCAAGCGCAGTTGTTCCAAACTGCCCTTAGCCCGAGTTATTGTAGCCTTGTCTTTCCTTTTCCCTTACTGYATTGCTCTTGGACTGGTGCCACGGGACATTCTGGGCCTCTTGGCATTGTGGTGCCATATGTTCATACATTTGTGGTCTGATATTGTAAGGATCTAAGTGGTCAACTCTTCAAGCTTTCTAGCTGTTTGCCAAAATAAGGATTTGACCAATGTGATTAGTAGATCTACGTGTAAAATGTGTAATGGTAGTAGTCTGGGGTTCACAGGTTGGCGTGTTGATGCTGTTGACCTAGTATTACTGTTTTGCGACAGGTTTGTCTCCATTGAAACACCTACTTGTTTGGTGGTAGGCCCATTGTGTTCTGTCAGTACTGGGGAATGTGGGGTGTCAGTCCTAGTTCCCTTTGTCCTCAGTGTCGTTGGAGCTGTTGTTGCTGTTGGAAGTTGTCGTCTGTTCCGTGTGGCGGATTTCATAGGTGGGAAGGATGCGGAGATGTCTGCAGTGCTCATATTGGCTTGGTTGATTGCTGTTGTGTCATACGGGGAACATTTTTGAATACAGCCAATTGCCATTGACATGCTTGCTAGCTGTCTTACCGAATGGCTGGACACTGGCACAGTTTCTCCAGAGAAATATCCTACATCGCTTCATCCAGTTATTTCATTTCCAGAGTGAGATTGGATGGCACCACATGTTTGCCAGTCATWTTTCACTCCAGTGGTTTAATGATTTAATGATCTTGACCTTCATTCCAGCTCTCACTCCCCACTTGTGTTGGGGGCTATCTTGTGGAATTTTTTATAAACTCTTATACCTCCTTATGGGAACAGCAACAYAAAGATCTCCATGGCCACACCCTTTCTCAGAAGCAAGCAAAACATCAACAGCAGTTGGTGATGAAAGTCTGCATGCACTTTGTTTGAACTGAAACCACATAATTGTCCATCRCATGCTCACTTATTCCCGGAAAACATGGAAACCTTCTTATCTACACATTACCACGGGGTCARTGAAAAGACCATCCTTGCAAGTGTCAGCAAGGCCTCACTCACATTGACCTCCAATACAYGCCCTCTTACTCAGTACTTCTCACCATTACCCCATAGTAAACAACCACTGGAGAGTGTCACACAAGACTTGCTGGTCTTTGACGCCTACTCCAAAAAGAAATGTCACAAACAACCTGTTGCGCCAGACAGCACTTCTTTGGCTCCTCTTGTCCCTCCTTCCCGTTTACTCCCAACCAAGTTAAATCAATTTTTCTAARCCCAGCAAAAACAACACCTGGTTGCACTTCCACAACAACTCCTTGGGGGAAGTGCCACCCCTTGGAGCAGCTACTAGGAAGCATACTTTACACCCAAAGCTATGGTTCTGGCCATATAATGCCTCTTCTAGTTCACAAGGTTAGTAAATATAATATCAMGATTTTTTTAGAAACACAGAGAAATGCAAAATTGTYGTTGTTTGCTTGTAGCAGCTTGGCAGTGCTTATCATCAGCACTTCTATCAACAGGAGTGTCCTCCATATCAGCAGGTCCTCTTTGTCATTATCCTCTGTATCAGCAAGCATCCTCTGTGTCAGGATAATCTTCTGTATACATATCAGCAACTTGTATCATCTGCAAGTGTCCTCCAGCATGTTGGCAACAACAAAAACAGCAATGTCATTGYATTAGCCACCAGAGAGATGGGGGGGATAAGAGCATGTCCTGCTTGTACACCAATGAAGACAGTGCTTATCGTTCATTTGCAGCTTCCTACAACAGCAGCACAACAATAACCAACAAGGGCACATGGGTACATGGTAATTTTGAGCTGCTTCACTGGTGGTTAGTAGTAGGTACTACTAAATAGTAACTGTGGGTGATGTTTCTCTGATCCAACACTTCAAATGCTATCTTCAACACCACCAACAAGCTTCTTTGTGTTGGCAGTGTTGAAGATATTACTTGCAGTTACCTCACTTCCATCTCAAGCTAAAGCTAAAGCTCTCAATCTCAGTGATGTTACTGGTTTTATTAGCTCCTGCAGTACAGACCATTTCACACCATAAGAACATGGACCTCAACATACYGTAGTGCACTTCTAGTTACAGTTTGGGTACATGTGCTGCCATGATGACTACTACTACTAGTATTCACTCTCCTGTGTCATTTTAGGAGAGCAATTTTGGTGTTAATTTAGAGTCCAGGTTAATCTTATTCAAACTAGTCAAAACTCAACATGTGATCTGTCTTCACTTGTGAATGAAATTCTGTGATTGAATCAAACTGGTCAAAACAAAATAAGTTGCTTTTTTTTCCATGTCCAATCCATATTACAGTACTTGTACAAGGCTGGGGTGTGAAATATTGCGTGACAGGTATTTTTCAGTATTATTTCTATACAGGCCTATGTGAAGAACAGTGTGATATGATATTACACCCTGCACCTCAAGCTGTCACTTAGTTCCACCTGGAACCCCAAAAAGCTATTTACAAGGCTGCTGATACAGAGGAGGCACTGATAGTACGGAGGAGCTGCAGATACGAGGCTGCTGATACAAGGCTGCTGATACAGAGGCTCACTGATACTACGGAGACTCACTGATACGAGGCTGCTGATACGGAGGATGCTGATACAGAGGATGCTGATATGAGGCTGCTGATACGAGGTTGCTGATACGGAGGAAGTGCTGATATGGAGGATGCTGATATGAGGCTGCTGATATGGAGGATGCTGATACGAGTATTTTTTGTTGATTTTTTTGCTGTTGCTTAGATCTACTGTTTCTTCTAAACCACTGGGTCAATCAATCCGCTACTTCCGGATCCCCCTGTCCTTGTTGTTATAATGAAGAGGTCCTGTATATCAATCGCGCTGTTAGTGGTGGTTAAGGTGTTGAACTGGAGGAGTGACAGGTCCCTATGCTGGAGGTTGTGTTAATGAGTTTTTCAGAAAATTCCGTGCGCAGAGAAATCAAGTAGCCGGAAAAGGTTCTCTGGCAAGAAACACATACAATATGCACATGTATCATCACATGGAAGGACAAGAGAAAACCCTTTCCGGCTAATGGATTCTCAAATTYTGATTGGTGCTTTGGTAGCATTAACAAGCAAGCAAAGCTTTAGCTGATTATGAAAAATGGCTCACAAAATTATGAAACATAACCTGTTATAAATTGGACGCGATATTTCACACCCCAGCCTCGTAGTAGTCTTTTAGCCGATCAGATTGCTTGATTCTTTATTTTTATCCCTAACTCTAAATTAACACAAAAATCGACGTAAAATGACATTTTGGCCAAAATGAACAGTCGTGCTGCGCGAGCAACGCCACAGTTATCATAAGGTACTCGTACTTCACATACCATACATACGGTACACCACAATACGTAGCGCGAATGACTGGAAATTCCAAAGTCAAGGAAAACAACTTATCTTTAACGATTCACCATACCGGTACTAACCATGGCAGTGAAGTAGATGACAAGAGGAAAACAGTTCGCACGGAACCATCCAAGAGTAGAACCAAACGAAAGTCATATCACGATTATTCTGTGCAACATCTCATTAAATGAAAGAACWCGCGTTCCGTCAATTTTATACTCCATAGAGACACCGAAGAAAATCACAATACCATGYCGAAACGTCAGACTTCTGCAACGAGCAACGGAGGTCTCGACTGTTCCTCTCCGTTCCTCCCYCTCGAAGAGAAGAGGAGATCAAGCTCTGTAACTGATATTGAGCCATCACTAGATGAAATTCCTGTGGACTTTGATGAAGAGATCGACAACACTCCAAATGACCCTGACACATCGTTGTCTGCATCTAAATCGAAAAAGGATGATGGCGATTTGACTGTTGCCAATATACCAACAAGAAGGAAAGGGAACAAAACTGATCCCAGCAAAGGAAGTAACAATAATAGCCACGTCAATAAAAACGGCAACGCAATCTTTTCCGCAGTGTCTTCCCATYTGTCGCTTTGGAGAAAAATAAAGCTCCCCAACGCTAAGAAAGTTGCCTCGTCGATCGTTGGGTTCTTCTTTGCATTCATTCTTTGGGAATGTTTTTTTGTGAATGCTGAAGACCGTGTGATAAAACCAGATTTCAGCGACAAATTCCTGATGTGGGTACAAGCCAATCCCACGTTGGGCCTGGGTGCTATCATGATAGTGATAGCGGCCGCCGTCGTTTCTTTGCTTCCAATCGGGACACCGCTCACGCTAGGATGCGGTTATATATATCGAGGTGTATATGGATGGAAATTGGGTCTTTTCGTGTCTACCCTTGTGAGCATGGCAGGGAGTACCCTCGGCGCTGTCACTTGTTTTTTGCTGGGTCGTTACTTAATGAGAGATACTGTCAAACGATGGGTTCGTAACTATCCCATGTTCGACGCGATCGATGTTGGTAAGTCTGCGTTACAATATACTGTTGTTTTTGCGAGTAGAAGTTGACTGGCCAACGTGGGAGTACAAAAACACATTTGCCATTTTACTCATCCTTACGCATTTTTGCGTTCCGCTCCTCTCGTAAACGAAAAAATCCTTCTTTTCGAATAGCTGTTACCGAGCAAGGATTGAAAATCATGGCGATGCTTTACTTAACTCCTGTGTTACCGCTAGGATTAGTGAGTTACATGTGTGGAACAACAGCAATGAAGTTGCAYAATTTCGCTGTAGCAAAAATTGCGTCGTTGCCACTATACCTGATGTATACCTTTATGGGAGCTTCGGCTCATTCATTCATCAAAGGTGGGAATGGGGGCAAAAATGACRGTGATTTAGGAAAATCTTTGGCCGAAGAGGCAAACAAGTTGGAAGAAAATCAGTATTTGATCTTGTGTGGATTAATCTTAAGTGCCGTGATGATAGCACTAATATCACGAAAGATCAAAAAGGAACTAATGAAGGTAAGATATTGTTACCAGAAAGGAATTTKCAAGAGCATCGATCGGTACAKAACAGAAATACATTGTGGATATCAACAGATTGCTGTAGTTGATAGTTCCACTTGTACTGATATGGTTGCGATGGATCACMCAATACCAACTCGTTGTGTTTTGTTCATCTCTCTTTTAGATATTGGATGATCAAAAGAAAGAAAAGGTAGATTCCAATGGTACTCCCCTCATTGATAAAGACGAGGCAGACGAGAAAACAATAGAGTTAGGACTAACCGCACGACGAAAATCGAATTTGAAGACTGGACATAAATGATTGAGAACATTAGCACGAGCAACCAGGCAGGGCCATCAGTGATGCATCCAAATCTCTTACTSTGTGATGATGCAGGAGTAAATTGGTTGGTTGTCACAGAATTAATTCTTCCTCTGCGTAAAGAACGATACTGGATTTATACTTCTACATTCAACCACATGGCAATTTGATCCATCTTGAAATCTTCTGTTTGGGTCATTGCCTAGTTGCAGTCATAGTTTTTGCCTTGTTGGCAAAAAATCTCATTCCACCGCAAATGTGATACCGTAGCTCCCWAGGAGATCAAAACTAAGGATCACAATTCAACAGATATAAATAGGCTGTAATCAAAGTTAGGAATGTAGTTTTTCACTGCCACCTTCGCACTRATGCATAAATGCTTTCATTTCCTCAGCTATCTTTCATGATCAGTTCAGGATCCACCAGTCACTTCTTTTTCAAGACTAACTAAGGAATACAAATGTTTGTCACCAGGGGTGTGTGTAAGCAAAATGCAGTAACAAAGTGRAGGGGCATTATTTCTGCTTGTGATTTTATTCTTTCAGAAGAGGAGCATACTAGACACTGCTGGTAGTAGTAGCAGTCCAGATTAAGAGAAAGAAAATTTGATAAAAATGGACAAGATTAACACAACACCACAATSACCAAATGTGCCTTGATGTTCATTTTGCTATCTCAATTGGTGGTGTCATTCCACCCAGAAAGACATTTTCTTATGGTCATGTTCTAATTGCATGCCTACACCAGATATGCTCTGACACACTCATGACTGAATGCTGAAACAGTCTACTGCCCACTGCCAACAAGGCAATAAGTTTCTATTGATACCTGGACTATTGTTCCTTCTACCTATATCCTGAYTGAGAAATAAGGGAACATTTGCTCTTCCATTCATACTAGTAGTTATTGCCCACCCATTAGCACTACTTTGCCATGCTATCCCTTTGYTTGGAAATGTCTAGTTTTTCACTGGATTCCTAAGATTATTTATGACAAAATATTGATGATTTGCTTGATCCTTCAGAAAGTGCCACATCATCAGCAAGTAGGTACTACACATTGCTCCATGAAAGGAAATTCTTCCAATTTKCCCATTTCTAGTAACACTACCAACAGCACTACTACTATTAATTATGCAGGTGAAGCTTATGCTGGGACTAGTAGAACTACTCAAGCTGTAGCAACATGGATTTACCAAAGAAAGAATTGAGAATGAAGATCCTTTCCTTTTCTATCWTTTACTTCTGCCCATTGCTGTGAATTTGTAGGAAGCCCAGGAGTATGAGATTGAACCAGAGAAGAAGCRGACTTATTAGTACACCAACAAGGTGACAAAACACACCAATGTCTACATATTACCAGATGRCAGTGAAGGAGAAGGGCATCAAGTYAATCTAATTGCTTTGCATGAAGCAGCAAAGGCTGATGTTATCATCTCTATGCATGACACTTTTGAAGTAGGGGGTAAAAACATTGAGTTTAGATGAGATGCAAAGGATCTTTCACTCAGCATAGAGATTGTTTACACAAAGACTTGTACCAGATGGCATGGAGAAAGCCACTACTATGGTGGCTCTAATAATGTTGCCCACAAGTTTGACATRTCTCCAAAAATCTTGTTCAGAACACCAACTCCTTCACTGGGGARAAAGCTGGCTTAGATTTGTGTATTGATGAGACCAGTTGGCCCTAGCAAGGATTTGGTTTGGTACCTTGTCAATTACCTCAAAGGCAAGAAGATTACAAGAGTGGTTCTGACTGTTRTAATGTCTGATGTGGCTATGATCAGACTCCCCTTTTAGGGACATCAATGCCATGACTGGAAAGCTGAGGATAGGGCATTTGTGGCCTGGAGCAGCTGAAGTTCATGACATTGTGCTGGAGACCTTTGTCCAATTAAATATATAGTRAAGGAGGGAAGCTCTGGAGATATCATTCAGTACATACCACAGCTGTTGGTTTCTTTCTTTTTGACTCTGCTATTTCAGATTGACTGGGAAAGCAAGGACTGGGAGTGATTGGTATCAYGGAAAAGAACTGACTGCCCAAGGGTGTACCAGGGAAGTCCTTGCACAAGAGAAATGCAGCTGGGGATTCTAATGCAAAAGGTAGAGTSAAGGCTTCTGGGATTTCTGAGTCAATCAGATAATTAAGATTTTTAAAGCAGATCCTAAGAAAGGAATCAGAGCTTTTAAAAGAGTATGCTGCTTGTCATTTCAGAGTACAAGGGCTCCTTSTATTCTTTGATCTGTGAACTATGTACTATAATTTTCATATCATTTTTTCAAWYGCACAAAATTGCATGGCAACCATATTGGCCCTGGAWGGGATTCTGATGCTCCTGGTTTGTAGTATTCATAGAATCTCAATAGTCCTAATCATTGGTACTGTCATCTTCCTCCTCCTTTTCCCTCTCATTTTTATGAATAACCTGCCGGATGAAAAAATASCTTTGGCCCAAGGCCCAACATCCTGCCTTTAGTTCCAAGATTCCCCAACGAGCAGTGGTKCCCATTGCTGATCATATAACCATGTCCATTGCTCGTCAAWKGGAGAAAATATAAGTGTGACTGGGTGCTCAACAATTASTATGGCCACAGGCACCCCCAAAACCAACATTTTTGGCAGGCCAGAGGTGTGTTTCAATTTTTTTGAAAATGACCTGAATATTCAAATGAGGTTTGCCTTCATCAATCCTCAATTGTGTAAAGTAGTATAAGTCTCCAAGGATGGTGGGCAAGAGGAAAGGGGAGAACCCTACAGCAACAAAGAAAAATTGGACAGCAGATGGAGCCTGGGACACACCAGCTAAAGATGAAAAAAWTGTGTGTAGAATAATGAGCAATTAGTGTAGTCTAACAATAATGCATGCAAACAGTAAAATACTCTAAGGGACTTAGCAGATATGAATCCACGCCGTACATCATGCTGCTTTGTCATAGCAGCTGGTGGTGGGGCATGATAAGAATGTTTTAGATTAAGGTGTAAAAGAAGTTTGTGTGTTTTCACTTGCTGATAGAAGCTTCCCCTACAAACTCAACACAGTGTTGGCAATAAGGCTCTGAGACTGTGTGTGCTGTGTTGAAGGGTCACCATTAAGAAGCTTCTTTACAGTCATATGGGACCAGTTGAAATGGCCCTGCAACCACTAGTGTAGGTATGTACATATGCTAAAACACACCTTGTAYCAATCAGTTGTAATCGTATTAGGCGTAAGATTGAACTGAGTTGTATGAGATCCAATTGTGTGGATCCAATTGCATGTGTGATTCAAAGAGAGACACATGGAGAACATTCATCACCAAGTAAAGGAAAATATCAAGAAGAAAAGAAATCTTTCTGTGGCAAGGAACAAGAAGAAGAGGGATGACAACAAAGCAAAAGAAATGGAATTCCAAAAGTGGCTAGAGCTTTATGAATGCCTGTTGACATCAGACAAGAATTGGGACAAGTATTGCACAACACCTGTATCTGYGGGGGCACAGGGCAGGGTGGATTTGCATCRGGAGTAACAAGAAGAGGAGGGAGTACCAGGAAGGAAATGAAATCAAAMACCTGACTTGGTTCAATGTGTTCTGTCCAATACAAATAATGTTTGTGTAAAGTAAATTATGGAAAACAATATGGTCTACTTWTGTTTCATTGAATAGTATGAATATGTAGTACTACTGGCAAACCTTGCAAGATGCAAAGGGGTTGTGAGACAACTCTTGAGCAAATACAAAACTACTGTTCTAAAGTTGAAAAAAGAAACTACATTGTATCTCTGATTGTTGAGGAAGTAGGATCTGCTYATGACCTTTTGAATGTTCACTTCCTCCAGCAGGGGACTGTGTCCATCTTTATGTTCCTTCAGCATGCTGGTGCTCATAGTCAGTGCGTCATGGACAGGGATATTGACATCGAAAATTCACTTCAGATAAGGGACCAGATCTGATGATGGGTAACTGCAGAACTGTGTTGGAATGCAGTCCCATGGAAGGACGTCAGCAGCACACTAGAAAAGGTCAACAACAAAGTCCTTCTTTGTGTCCTTTCCAAGTTCAAAAGTTTGGAATCCTTCTTTATTCTCAGCAAAGTTTTTTGACTTATTTCCCATTGTGAGGTTAGGCAATGGGTATTGGCACTGGATACTGGTGTTGGATATGGACTTTGGATACAGGCATTGTGCTTCAATACATCAATGGGTGATTAATCCTAGATATCTTATTAGATATAACTCTGCTTTGAAACAAGGGGTAGCTCTTTGCTTGCTTTTAAGGCATTGCTTTGGATACTGGCAACGTTGGTTAAGGGCTTTAGATACAGCTGTTGTGCTTCAATACAGCAATGGATGATTATTCCTGGAGATCTTGAACAGATATTACTCAGTTTCAAGACAATGGGTGACTCTTTACTTGTTTTTGAGGTGTAGCATTGGGCATGGGCAATGGATACAGGCAAGGATGTTGGATATTGGTGCTTGTTACGGGCCCTGTGCTTTAATACAGCAATGGGGTGATTAATCCTGGAGATCTTGAACAGATATGACTCAGCTTCAAGACATTGTGAGGCTCTTTGCTTGCTTGTAAGTCTGTTGGATACAGGTATGTGCTCCAGTGCAGCAATGGGTGATTATTCCTAGAGATCTTGAACATACATTACTCTGCTTTGAGATAGTGAGTCCCTTCTACAGTGGTGCTGAGATGGTTTCAGTTTTGGATGTTAAGTTTTATTTTGAAAACTATGATTTTGAAGGGCCTTCYACCAGGCCAATTACTTACATTGGGTGCCTTCCCACCATGCTGTTGATCAATTTCCAGGAAATACAAAACAGATTGGAATCTCTTCTGACAGAACAGGTGATCCCGTCCCCATCCAGTGGTGCGTCCCAACAAATGCTGGGAAATACAAAACAAAATTGATTTGGCTCTGAAACAACAAGATGCCCCAACAAAGGACCTTTGCAGAAAATAATCATGATGTTAAAAGTGGAACATATTTATGTTTGAACCCAAAAACGCGTCTCATTTCATTGAATTTGGTTTCCAGGACATTTGAAACAGATTTGAGGCTGTTGTGCAAGAAAGAATGCTCCCTCCCTGCCATCMCTCCTGGTGGTGCCTCCCATCAATTACTG